GGGAGAGACAGCAGAAGGGGGCTGGGTATACATCAGGCAGTGAGAATGGGGACACTGGACAACATAAAAAAAGACACAGAATGAAGAGAGGGGGGGGGGCAAAAAAAAAAAGATAATGGCAGAGAAAAGGAGAATGTAAACGGCAGAGCAGGAAGTGGCGGAGAGGAAAGTCTGCGAGCTGATTTTAAGACACTCAGCATAATTGTCTGACCACAGGAAGAGAGAAGGAGGGATATGGGCAGACAGCATACAGCATGGCGAGGCCAGAAAGCATCAGATTACAAGTCGTGTCCCTATAAACTTTCAAATTCGATATGGCGCTTACATGTCACAGTACCAACGACGAACTGAAACGGATCCTAGTTTTAAAAGTGATCTTTGATGGAGGTGGGGAATAAATACAGATCTCCTCCTCACCTGTTTGTGCATCTCGATGTTCAGGCCGTAGGACATTTCGTAGTACTGAAACAGTAGAGAAATTGCGAACTTTGTTAACGGCCTGTGCTACAGAATAATCTCACGTAGAAACCTTCGTCTCCGTCTTCCACCTCCTGGGAAAAAAAAGGCAAAGGTTTCGAGTGGCCAGAGCCAATCTGCGGATGCCAATCTGTTGTGCCCGGTCCGCTGCCAGCAGGCCGACGGCCTTTGAGTAAATTAGTTCCCTCCACTGTGACAGCTGGTGGTGTCACTTTGCTCCGGGTGCCAAGATTCTCCTGTTGCTAGGAGACGTCTGAACACCAGCTCTAAAAAACAACAGCAAAAAAAAAAAGAAGCGGCCAAGCAGCCAAAAGGACCAGTCTGTGCCAGCCATTGCCACGCGCTCGGGTAGAGGAAAACATCACAGCTGCAGCCAGCCCTCGGTGAAGACTGTCGGTCGTCATGGTAACCTACGGCCCCGGGGATGGGGACCCGGTTGTGCGGAGATGGCACCAGTTCTACTCAGTATTTTGAGACCTCTGGCCCCGGAATTTTGTGCGGTCATATTATGATTTAGCAGAGTACTGGGCTGACACGAGGTGCAACTGGACAGCGAGAGGCGGGACGACAGACTCTACTGCAGACGCGAGAGGCCGTCAGGACTATCACCACTCACCATCACGTAGTGCCTCTGGATCTCAGTCTTCTCTGTTGCTATCTTCTCACACTCCAGCTTCAGGCTGCAGAGGAGAGAGACAGGGCAGACATCAGCCAGACGGACCAGTGTCCGATGTCCCGTCTGCGTATCCCGGACGCGCTCAGAGGGAGCGGCAGAGGTAGAAACTGCAGCGTGATAAATTTTTTAGTCACCAACTCAAGGTAACACACAGGGACAGAACGGCAAGAGTCAGGACTCTATATTTGTCGTACATATTCAAGTATATAGAAATTCTTATCCAGTCAGTGACATAACATCCAACAGAATTAGATGGCAAAAAACAAGACATCCAATAGGAAAGGTGCCATTTCTCAAACTGGTCCTTAGGGGACCCAAAGACAGGGGGGAGCAACGGCAGAGTTCAGTGCGATGGGCAAAGTGTTGCTCTGTCCAGTGAAGCAAACTGATTCATGAGGCTGTACTACTATCGTTCTCTCAAGTTGTTGAATTTCAGAAGAGCACCGTTCCTAAACCGGTTGGTAACAGTCCTGACGCGAGTATATCTTCGGACCTCAGTTTCACAAATGTGCGCGGGGGGCTGAATTCAGCACAAGCGTCTGGGAACAACACAGGCCCCGCCCACTCCATCTAAGCAGCAGGCCGCCACTGTAAACAGGTGACGAAGCCCCGGGAGACTCCGCCCTCTGCCTTGGCGGCCTGCAGCCATGGAGCAGGCCTGTTTATCGGGAAGGAAGGTCTTCCCCAAAAACAGTCCCAGATTCTAATCCCATCAAAACCTGCCTGTTCGGAGCTGCAAGTCCTTCTCCATGGGAACCACAGGTAACGCAGAGGTTCAAATTGAGTTACAAATCTCCCTGCAGACATAGAGGCCACGTGTCCCACTAACCGAGATAAGGTCCGCAGGCAGAGCAGATGCCAACATGAGTGCACACACGCACGCACGCACGCACGCACGGACACACTCACACACACACACACACGCGCGCGCGCACACGCACACGCACACACACACACACACACACACACACACACACACACACA